CCATCCCCCCACTCCCAAACCAGTTTTGTCATTAAACAGTACCTAGACAAAGGCAATCCTCAACAACAAACCCTGTTTAGATAGCAGGTGACTAGAGCCATGTAGGGAATTCATTGTGGTAATTAAAAAGTCTGGCTGGACTGAAATGATGAATGTCAGGTACTGACACACTGTCAGGCAGGCTGCTCGTGTGTTTGTGTGCTGATTTTGTTCCAGTGTAGCCGGGGTTGATTAAAGCTAATGACGCAGGGCCTTCTCAGCATCTTGCTTCTGTTCCAGCCTCGCATAATTAGGAGTGAGAGAATAATGGTCTAATCACACAACTCTAGCTTCTCAACTACAGCTTTCCTCTGCAGCTTGTACAGCAGTCACCTGGCCCTTGGCTTCATCTGTGGTCCATCAAAACAGCCGAGCCTGCATCCGCTGGGAAATCAAAGATAGCTCCTTCCATCGAAGATTTAGACTTAATAACAGGATTCATCCAGTAATATAAAAAAAATTCTGATGATGTATGATGGCCTTGACTGCCAGACTGACTAAAGGCCAGTATTTGTTGTTTGTTTCTGTGGATTACTGTTGGAGGGCTCAGGACTTTACACATGACCGATTGCTGACAAAGCTCAGATTTTAGAAGTGATTGAACTCTGACATCATCAGATGTGACCCAGAAGTCTTTCAAATTTTGAGATGCATACTCTATAGTGTTTCTTTTTGTTGTAACATCCATGATTAAAAAAAAAGAAAAAGAAAAATCATCCAAGAATATCCTTCAAGATCCTAACATAACAAACTTTATTATTAAAATAATTTTTGCTGTCACTCTTATCCCTAACGTACATAATATTCATATAGTTGTTATGATCTATCCATCCATACAAACACTTCTGATCTGCCTTGGAGCCAACACCTGACATTGGGGTGAAAAGGTACAATTAGTACGAGCCAAATAAGCAAAATTTATGGCTTATTAAAACCTATTATAGTTTTTTTGGATTAACATGTAGTGTCTGTGTCCTTTAGCACAAACACAGTAAAAGAAGACTTTTGTGTACAATTTGTCCATTTTGTTGTACAATTTGGTATTCTAATTTAACATTGCTCACAAACTAAATCTGCCCTCGAGCTAAATATAACATCTTCATGCTCCCAGTGAGCACAGATGAAAGGCCAGTCCTTCACTGCCAGGTCACCTCAACACCATCTTTTGCATCTGTGGCATTTCTGGAGGCAGGGCCCATTTTTAAGGTGTTGCTGCTTTCCCCAACCCATCTCTGACATTCAGCACAGTCTCACACAATCCCTTTCATCTGTAGTTAGAGGGTACCTTTCCAGCAACACAAACTGTATAAGGTGGGACAGCCACTGAAAACAGAGAACAGACCATCTGAGTGCAAATAATAACCTATTATTTTGACATTTCTGGCATTTTTCTGCTCCCATTCCTGCTGCCCACTTTCAGCATATGTTTTCAGGCAATACTATCCACTTTTGCTCTACGCTACAGAGTTTCTACATGTATATGCAATGGAAGTGTAATGGAGATAGCATGGCAGGGGCACCAAAATCTATTTCCTGTTTGTCCTATCTGTTTTGTCACATAGCACAGGTTAACTGAATAACGTTCCTCACTGGCTATTGGTATCACCAAAGGTCATCAACAAATTCTGAAGAGGCATACACATCTCACAGTATGTTAGCTTTCCACTGTTAAAGGGACCTGACCGTATGGTGTGATGCTCCACTACAGCCAGAACCTCATACAGGAAACAGCTTGTATGTCATGTGAAATGGCAGCATTGCTCAGTACCTCTGTCTGTGAGTGTATGTACTGTGAAAAACAAAAAATGTGCTTTTTGTGGAGACGAAACATCAGAGGTTTTTTTGGGTGGGGGTAGTTATGGTTCCCTTTAGGTGTTCACTGTGACTGAGCAAACTGTCTTTAGTAAGTGTTTCAGCTGATCACGTGTTCACAAGCCAAATCTCACTCTGCTAGCAGCTAGCAACTGTAGCTGTCCAATGTAGTAGAGTATAAATGCTAATCTTTCTCTCTGAAATATGATAATAAGAAAAAAAGTAGCATAAAGTGAAAACACTTAAAGTAAATACTTTATACTGAAATATGTTAATGATAGCGTTTCACTTGTCAATGATTAGTACGCTGGTGTTAGCATTTACCTTAAGCAGCCTCAAGAGTTGAAAGCATGATTGAAAGTCATTTAGATTTGTTGAATTAGGTAATGAGTGAAATGCAAATCCCTGTATAGCCAAGAAGAATACATTATACAGGATGGTACAACATAGTAAATTTTTCAGTAGTGCCAAGAAAAACTACTAATTTTTCAGGTTTCTCCTGCAAATAAAAACTAATTTGCTAAATGTAAATTGCAATGCAGCTTCACTACAAAATCAATGCCAAAGTAGCAGCACTTGATATGATTTCAAAATATGATGTTGCATATTATTGCCTCTAGTAATGCTTATGTGAATGCGTATTCAGATACTTTCCACTTTTTATTAACTATATCAGTCTATAGGTTCCACCCATGGAACATGAGATCATGTTGAATTTTTTTCTTAACTATTTTACATTTTATCTGAGATTGTATGCAATATCTCCTAGGCAATTTACTCAGACTTACACGGATGAGAAATTCATGTTTACTGCTACCCAGTAAGTCTCAAAGCAAATTAATTTGTGCGCCACCATTTACATTTTTATGATTGGTGTGAGAAAAGACACGCACACACAACCCTAAATGTTATTGCTGCAATAAAGTGCCTCTTTAACTAATTTCTGATTAATGGATTGTTGTTCCATGTGATGCCCATTGTGTAAGCTCATGTAATTTCTAATTTTCTAGTGCGTCCCTTTTGTGTTCTGTAAATGATCCAGAGTGAAATGCAGCCTATACACAAGCCTTTCCTTCAACTAAACAAGCTGTTTCTCAGGAAATGTACTGTCTCCTTTATTTATTTATAAGTGAGCTCTGGGGTGTTCAGGAGGGTAGGCATCACAGGCATCTGTCATCAGCGCTCAGTCTTCAAACTCCACGTGGTGCTCATCGATTTTAGCCTCTCACTGCTGAAGAGCCCTATCAATCAATACAGTAACAAGTCTTCATTTATACTTGAGAAATGCTGTTTCCAGCTCAGCGGGCATGAACTCCTGGTGTTGTCAATGTAGCCATAAATTTTCAATTCTGAATTTAAAATTTTGGCTTTGGGCCTTATCTCTCTAACATGGCTGTACATCATATGGTCATGGCACAACGAAACATAAGTGTGTGAAGGCTCATCTGCCTTCACACACACATGAACTTCAGTGACATCCCAATGTGTTTAATATGTCGGCGCACCTTTTGCAGCCATAACAGCTTCCAGTCTCCCGGGAAGGCTTTCCACAAGGTTTAGGAGTGTGTCAAATTGAATTTTTGACCATTGTGAGGTCAGACACTGATGTCGGATGAGAACGCCTGGCTCGTCTCTGCTGTAATTCATCCCAAAGGTATTCTTTTGGGGTTGAGGTCAGGACTCTGTGCACGCCAATCAAGTTCTTCCACACCAAACTTGATCATCTATGTCTTTATGTACCTTGATATGTGCCTGGTGTGCAATCATGTTGGAACAAGAGGCGCCAACCCCAAATTATTCCCACAAAGTTAGTAGTATGAAATTGTCCAGAAATGGTCCACGCACCTCACCATCTGCTGACTCTACTCTGTGATTTGTGGCTTTGTTGCCGTCGTTCCTCGTCGCTTCCACTTTGTTATAATACAGTTAACAGTTGACTGTTGAATACCTAGTAGCTAGGAAATCTCACGACTATACTTCTTTCACAAAGTTCGTAGAATTCAATGATTTAGATGTGTGACTGAATACTTTTGGCAATATAATGTATAATAATTCCTTCCTGCACCACATGGTTGCATCCCTGAAACCACTTTGCTGTCTACAATTGCTATATTGTATTTTGTCTCTTCTAATACAATCAATCAATCAAGCCTTTTATTTGTCACATGCAAAGTTTACGCCTGCAGTGAAATTTGTGTATCGAAGGAGCTTCTTTTGGTGTGCAGTACTTTACTCTTGAGACTGATATTGTTTGAGCATTTAGGAATAAATTAGGTAAGTCATCACCTCTTGTGCATTCAATAATAACCTAATATATACACTACTATACACAGCAGTTAACTTTAACCTATCTGTGGACTGTAATTAATACAAATGTTATTTATTTTGATGAAATTTGTAAATGTACTTAATTGTTAGTCTGTTCACACAGCTAAAAATAATTAAGAACACTCTAAAGCACTGCTCTGCCTATATTATAGAAGTTCTAGTACTTTCAAGCATTTCTTTCTTCCCCTTTGTTTTTCCTTTTTTGTACCCTTTGTCTCACTTTTTACCGTTCCACCAGTGTACCTCTTGCTTCAAGCTTATCTGACAGGTTTAGTTAATAGTTTCTTTACAAGTTAAGATATTGAAACACCTGCTCAGTTTATGCATGTTCATACATTTCAACAAAAATTACTACTAGTGGTTATGCCACACTTTTTATGGTATACTGCCGTACCTTATGACATTTTGCTTTTTTTTATTTTTACTCAAATACATAAAGTTTTATGTGTATCTCTAATGTTTATTTTGTATTTAAAAGTAAATGTGATAAATGACTTCTTTTTTTGACAGCCTGTTAATATTGTTATTAGTAGTAATATTAGTATGGATATCATGTGATCATTAGCTGGAGCCAGAACAAACCCTAATAGTTCCACAGTCTTAAACCCGTTTAAGCTTAGTGGGTCTGTTTTTGCTCACTAGAATCGTGTATTTCTTCCTTATCTGCAGCCACTGTGTCATTTTTATTCCTGCAGTGTATCTGAGAATGACAGCTCTCCTCCTTCCCCTCCCCTCTCCGCTTTCTCCGCTCTGCCGGGACGCCTGCCCGGTTTGGTTTGGTCCGCTCCTCCCCTCTCCTACGTCTCACCGATGGTAGTTTCTATTGGGAGAAGGTCAAATGACTCCGCATGTATGCCTCTGTGTACATTCCTGCCGTGGCGCACGCCTGAAGAAGAAATACTTGTAACAGCATCGCGAGTGTGTTTGCGAGCATCCGAAAGGCGTCATCGCGCAATGTTCCTCTGAAAGTAAGTACCGATGCGCAGCGACATGTTTGTTCTCTGTCAAACGGATAGCCCGGCTTCTTCTTTCTTTTCTTTTTTCTTTTTCACGTGTGGTCGGATAAGTCGTTTCCTTATAAAGCTTTAATGTTTGCAAAGTGTAGTGTTTCTGTGCGGATGCTACAGCTCAGGAACCCGGATGGTTTAAAAATAGTTCCTTGGGGATGCTTGGAGTCTTGTGATGCTTTCAGCGGTGCAGGTGAAATTCAGGTGAAGGGAGGCTCTTATTCCCACTAAACAAATAACCTGAGCTGCTTGTTCTTCATGCGCCTCAGCGGTACTTACATTAAGATCCGTTTTACCTTTGGCGCTCCTGCTGCATTTTCGCTATCCTGAAGTACATTATAGGAGCTTAATGAACGAATACAGCTCTGAGCAGCAGTAATAAGCCACATTTAGTTCTAAATAATGCAGAGGTAAAGGGAAGGTTAACAGTAATCAAAAGAAAATGGGAATTCAGACTATTCATCAGCACAAAAGTGTATTTGAACCATGTTTACATTATTTACTCAACAGTACATGTTATCTTAGGTCTGTGCTAATGTGGGAGCATGGAAAGTTCACTCCTCAGCAACTAGAAAGCTCTTAGGAAGGTAGACTTAATGAAGTGAGTCATCTGAGTGTGGCCACAACTCCCCTCCCCTCCTCATCTTCCCCTGCAGAGTAGTATGTAGCTAACTAAGCCTATTACACCATTGCATAATGCAATAAGGTATTCCCATAAGGTGCAGAATGAGCTGCCTCTGGGAGTCAAGTGGTGGAAGCCTGTGTATTGTCCTTTTAATCACTTATTATACATGCTGGTAAAACATATAAGGGAGAAGGTAGTCACGAACACAGAGCTAACTAAAGGGAGCTGGATCACTGTCCACAGACACGGTGGCTTCACTGATGCGAAAGGTAGCTTGGTCAAGGCCAGCGAGACGTTCAAAGTCAAATCAGAGTGAAAACAGGGAGAGGAGTTGTCAAGTAAAGTGTCTGATTTTTGTGATCTTGTTTCACTTGCTCAGATGATCCTTCATGCTGCTCAGGCAAACTGTTTTCTAACAATGCTGCCATCAATCCATGTAAAAAAAAAAAAATCTTTAAAAAGAGCTACAAAAAGCATTTTCTAAAGAATAATCTTTCAAAGGTTGGGAGAAGTTAAACAAGAATAGCAGTGTGTTTCCCGTACGCTAATGCAAAAATCTCTTAATTGCATGTTTTGTTAATATCCAGTAAAATATAAGAAAACACAGTTTGGTAATGTGGTATTTTGCTTAAAAAGTAACTTGGATTATGTAATTTTTCATTACTATGGACATTTATAAATAAAAAAAATAGTTCAGGCATAATTCAAACCTTATATATTCTCGTAAACTACAACACTATATTTAGACTGAGTGTTAACTTTCCTGTATATATAATATGCTCAAAGACAATGATATTTGAAAAGCCATAATGGTTTTTTTTTTTAATATACAGTTGTTGTTTTTCCCATGTCATAGACTAAATAATGAATTGTTTAGAAAAAATATTTGTCAGTTGAGCGTTGTGTTGTAGTAACTGAGTGTTTAGCTCTGCTACCAACATTTTAGAAATGTCAAGACTAGGGCTTGGTACTGAGATAGGCCAACGATCAACAGTAAAAACAACTATCGGATTAGGTACTACTTTGCAACATTTTCAGTGCCAGCAGTGCTGTCTTTGCCTCATCCAGCTGACACACAGCTTCCCACAGCACTGCTGCAGACAGGCAGACACACCGCCCTCCCTTTAGTGGCAGCATGAACTGTAGTCTGTGTTCACAACCACTGAACAACATTTTATGAGGGTTTTCAAGGAGTCAGTAAAGCTCCCCTTTCAACAACATTGCAGTATTAAACAATTAACATACATATTAACCTGTTCAACTATTAGAATCTGCCATGTTCTTTACCATAGAACTGTTACTACAGTAGAAAAAATGGTAGTGACACACACACAGACACATGCGCACACACCTTCAGTCATGACTCTTATGATGAAATCATGCACGGTCCTGCTGGCTTTGATTAATCCTTCACCCTGCAAACATCAGGGAGTTCTTGCCGTTACCAATTGATTACTGCATCGAGATTCACGTTGATGAAACTGAACTGTATTCACTTAGTGGAAATGATTTTATACATGCTGTTTTAAAAAGAAACAAATTCAATTAGTTGGCTCCTAATAAAAATATATCCTTATCTGTATTTCAAGTGCATCAAACTGCGCTTTTATGCTTTCTGATCTTTTATTTATTTTTTTCTCCGTGCTGATAAGCTGAAGCTGTGAGGGACGAGGCTTGATGTCTATCAAGATAGCCACGAAAAAATTTGGTATCTCTCGACTGTGTGAGGCTCAACAACAACTGCAGCTTCCTCTATCTCCTCTATCTCTGCACGCTCATCAATGCACACAGCTCTCAGGTAGACTGAGAACTTCTGCACTACCCTTAGAATACAGGCAAAAAGTAAATTGCTAACATGAGATCAGACAGTGTTTCTTGAAAGCACTCTTTGGGAAGACTTATTTAAAGTGCTGCTAGTAGACTTTTAAATAAGCCCTTATATGTAGCACAGACTGCTTTTACCTTGAGGGCATGCTGTGATGTAAAGGTCAAGGTGTAGGCGATAACCCTGTGAGGCTTCGTGCACATATAAGTGGTTCCACTGGGATTCTGTGGTTTCTAAGCACCGCAGTTCAATGTAAAGTTCCTTATTATCCCTGATTTATCATCATATAGACCCCTTTGCTGCCTACGTCATCAAAAGCATGCGTGTGCATTTTGGCAGCGGAGGTAAAGCGTCATCCCATTAATTCAGATAAGGATGACGAGACAACACAGTTGTAAAGCTTGATTTAAAAGTGTTATCATCATAAAAATGTTGGGTTGTTGCGTGTTTGGCTGTCAAAATCACTCCTCTACAAACAGCGGGTTGAAGTTGTACAGAATTACGACGGGATCCCAGCCGTTTCTGAGAAATCTGAGGCGTCTGTGGTAGCAAGCCATTAAACGTGTTGACGAAAGCTGGACTGAGGACGCAATCAGAAATGCTCGCATTTGTAGCGCCAATTTACATCAGGTAAGTTATTTATCTACTCTGGTTACACTATAACTCCTGCTTTATATGAATAATAATATCTAAAGTAAGCTGCATTAGCAGGTTTGCTATTTGGCTATTAATCAGTGTAGTGTGACTGTCTGGATCAATGTTCTGGTAAGGATATATATTTTTTAGAATCAACCAGCTTGTGCTGTTGTGAGCTTGTGCCTGCATATCCTAACTTTTCATATTTCTGTATTAAAGCTGAAGAGGATATCCCAGTCCCAAGGAGAGAATATGATGATCTAAACCTGAGATACACTCAGCTTCAGAATGACTGTGTGGACCTGCAGCAGGAGAAAAACCTCAGGCTGAAAATGCAAAGCTTAGAGAGGAGCTGAAAAACTCTGCGTCTTCCTATGCCACTATTAAATGCAAAACGGGGCAAATGCTTTCTTTCACAGGACTTACCTCCTTTATCTTTGAATCTAACAGACAAAATCACAGACAGTGTAGAAATAATTTGCCAAAATCTCAGTCTGCAGGATCATCTTATTGGTTTTTGCTAATGAAATTAAGAGTGGGCTTAAATAACACTGATTTAGCCTACAGATTTAAGGTATTAAAACCCACCATATCAAATGTATTGTTGCATTCACTATAATGTTGTCTTGCTGTTTCCTCCATGGTTTCACCCTAAAGAACAGATGGGACATTTAACTTGGTTTTGTTGTTCTGCATTATATCCATAATTAATTTTGCTGTTTTTATCCGTTGTGGTCACACGGTGAAATTTAGTACGTGTAATCCGATGGGTGTGCCAGTGGTGTTATCTTGACGCATTCTAGTGTTTCAAATTGATGATGCTGCATTTAAGTTTGTGAAATGTTTCTTCACTTTTCACCTTTATTTCCTGTGGTGAGAGTTCCCTGAGTGAGTGTTAAATAAAGCAGTCAAGGGCTCCTGCAAGCCTGGTTGTTCCTCCGTATCAGTGTCCAGTGACGTTGTTTCTGTGTCACTGTTCCCTAGACTTGTCAGCACTGCAGCATCTAGGTCCACAACTTTTATTTCCCGGATGTCATCATCGGTCAACTCTGATGACTGGGTAATAAGAATACATAATTATTATTATGCCGAGTATTTAAAGAAATATAAAAAATATATTTTATGAAGCTTGATCATTTTTGTTCAAAACTCATGAAGCAGAGCATTAAAACATAAACGGTACACAACACTGAGTAGCCAATCTAAGGAATCCAAGTTACGAAATAAATAATGTGAAGGCAATAAATTGCCATTGGGGAAAGTCTTTATTCTTCAAGCTCGGGTCCTCTACCAGAGGCCTGGGAACTTGAGGGTCCTGTGCAATATCTTAGCTGTTCCTAGGACTGCGCTCTTCTGGACAGACATCTCGGATGTTGTTTCTGGAATCTGCTGGAGCCACTCACCTAGCTTGGGGGTCGCTGCACTTAGTGCTCCGATTACCACTGGGACCACTGTTACCTTCACCCTCCACATCTACCCGAGTTCTTCTCTCAGCTCTTGGCATTTCTTGAGCTTCTCGTGTTCCTTCTTCCAGATGTTGCTGTCACTTGGTATAGCTACATCTATTGCTCTATCACTGTCTGTATCTGGAAGTCCTACAGGATCTTAGCTTGGTCATTCTCCACCACCCTAGAGGGCGTTTCCCATTTTGACCTCGGGACTTTCAGGCCTTGTCGGCTTGTTCCTGTACACTATGCCGACCACTTCGTTATGCCGTTCCATTTATGCCCTGCCTGCTAGCATCTTGCACCCTGCTGTTATGTGCTGGATTGTCTCAGGGGCATCTTTACACAGCCTGCACCTGAGGTCTTTCCTGGTGTGATAGACCCCAGAACTATTGCTCTTGTGCTGAGAGCTTGTTCCTGTGCTGCCACA